TGGGCGCCGCAGATACGATGCACAAAGTATCACAACAGAGTAAATGTTGCAATAATAATATATTACCTTCTTAAAATGTATCCTAGTCCCATGGCCTCGGATCTGCCATCCTCACCCCGTATCATGACCGTTGAGCCGTTACTGGCATACCGATAACGCTGATACCAGATAATTAAATCATGGCTGACAAGTTGTGAGCTGGAGGATGAGCGAGGTCATCTTCAACATGCTGACTCAGCAGTCTAGCAACATCGTGGCAAGAAAAGGGAATCCTTGGGATTCCAAAGCTTGCCCCTTTTGCGACTTACAATTGCTCGTAATTCTTGTGGTTGTGGTACAGGTGGCACAAACCTACAGCTGCTATCAACCATTTTGCCAGAGATACAATATTCACGAAGAAACGCCGTTCATTTAGGCCATAGCAGATATACACTCTTGAGACCGAAATATACGAGCGCTTATCTCTGTCTGATACCATGGTCCACTGCCACTTTGTCCTCCTGAGCTCCCTTTGAGACATTTCAATATGTTTGCTAGATGATCGGACAGTTCTGTTCCCGCGCCAAATGGTTCAAATTCCTTGGTTTCATAACTCTAGAATTGCTTGAAATCTACTTTGGTGGCAGTCGATGCAAGACTCATGGCATTTAAGCCACCCATACCTAGATGATAACGTATCTCGAATCCAGATTCAGGAGGAGACATCGTTTCATGATGTCAAAGCTCTGGAACTTTACAGAAGGCTGAAAAACAGATCTTCAACATGTTACCGAAGACTGACGGATATTGTACCCGAATAAGGCACCGTTTACCCATCCGGGTGTCTACTGTTTTGTGCATTGCGCATTTTACGTGTGCAAACAACCATTTTAAATTTAATGAGAATCCACATTACTTCATAAAATCCGGTAGAATGATGTAATCAATGAACGACTTAATCTGTAAGCCTCCCCTCTAAAAGAGAGTCGATCTTTCTTAAGCCGAATCCTATTGAAGTCGAACTACATTTGGCGCAGTTGAGCTAATTTTCACCACAGCTGTCATGTCTCTACTGAGATCTGACTTTTTTTGTGCAAGAGTTTAGTCGAACGACCTTGCCTACAAGCCTAATATTTGCTCCATCGTGGGCGCAAGTTTCTGATAGTTCCAAGGTCAGAGCACCTGCGAGAAGAACGGAGCTACACAGAAGAAAATGATTTATAACTAACTCTACGGCAAGACTATGCCCAGCACGCTTGTAAAATTTCCAACCCCATGTCACTTATCGGTGCTTGTGGCACCAAAGTTGTATTATTTAAGTAAACATATACCGCTTCCTTATAAGATGATGGATGGACACAGAAGGTCTTGGTGAGAGTCGCGCTCGAACGAAGTCCCATCCTAGAGATGATAACCTTTGCGAAAGCCAAAGTCTGTCACCATCACTACGATTAGTTTCACAGCTCCTACAAATTTCCACCTCCTAACAAGTTAACAAGAACTTTAAATCGCGCTCGGTACGCCTACTAAGGCAAAGCAAACACTCGCGAATTATGCTGCGTCAAATACTCCTGTGTCAGGAATGCCTGATCAAGAGAGGTACCGCACGCGGGTGTAAATTTGGGGGCGCAGCTTCCTAGTGGGAAGATTGCAAGCGCGACGCTCTGTTACCTCGTCTGGAGCATGGCAAAAGGTATGGTCAGAGTGAGAATTCTCTCCCTAGCAGGATTGGCAGCCAGAAATTACTGTCCCCACGGAAAGTTTATTTATGCTGCCACCGACGCCTCATGGCAGTTTCGGGCAGGTGTTATATCAGCGCATTCTGATAGCTGATGTTAATCGCTCACTTTGAGAATTGAGCGAATGTCAATAGACATTAGCTAACTCAGCTGGTCAAGTTGTTTGAGAATAGGTATTTAAACATTCTTGTTCCATTTTCACAGCGATAACAGACATTTTCATACCTTAGTCGTCAGGGTAAATGGAAATGTAACCAAATGAATGGAATCGCCGTTTCCTTTGCACAAGGAAGCTTTGGCGCCAACCAAAACACAGATGTCGGGTGTGTACGCGAATGAAGAATCTCCAAAACTACTTAGTATCTTTTTGCGCGTTTAATATAAAGAGCGACTGACGCTTTGGAACGAGATAATACGAATATATACGCTTACTGTATACAATAATATTATTATTTATTTGTCCTGGGTAATTGTAATAGCCGACGAGTATCACAAACAACTTTACGGGGTTTTTTCGAATGAATACCGTTGTTCGACTCAGTTTCCACAAGTACAGTAGACTTCCGCTTAAATACGCCAATTGATCTGGTACGGTTTGTGCGCACTTAATTGGTAGGTGCGTACTTATACCTGTCATACTCTATTAGACCTCTTTCAGAGAGTATTAT